GCGCTTACCGTCGCAACGATCTCTCTCTCTCTCTCTCTCTCTCTCTCTCTCTCTCTTTATTCTTTTCTCCGTCCCTCTCTTTCGGTCGGCGTTTCTCCGAGGTCGTTCTTCGGGTTCACGACCGGGACTATAGGATCCCCTTCTCTCTTTCTCCCGGATCGCGGCTAACTCTCTCGTTTCAACCTCTCCTCTCTATTTTTAGAATGACACACTACCGCGATTTAACGAGGCTCGGATCGAGGCTCTCCGCCGCGCCGCAGCCGGGAAATCCTCTGCCCAAAAGCGGTCGCGAACGAAAGCGACAGCGCCACTTTTCGTTTCGATTCACGCGACGTTCCCTCCGCGTTCCACCACCCTCGATTCTCGTTTTCAACGTCGTGCGCCGTGATTGTCGATAAACGGCCGCCGCGCCCGTCGCGTTTCCCCGCCGCGCTTCGTCAAAATGTCGTAAAAATAAAATTCTCCGGCGAAGAAAGGGAACGGTTGCAAAAGAGAATAACAACGTTCATTTTTCCTTTCGATTTATCATGTTCCATAATCGTCGATCAACAGACCAACTCGTCTCCAACTCGCTTTTTTTTTATCTCGTTCCTCTGCGATTCTCGATATACAATCGTTGCAACTTTTTCAAGAGGATCATCTTTTCAGAGCAGTTGCCTATGTACAGGCGTCATTTCGTAAAAGAACGAATCTCTCTTTGAAGCGATTCCTTTAATTTCGTTCGATCTAGAAAACGCATCTGAACATTTTCGCGAAAAAACGTTTGGAAAAATCTTCAATCGAACTAATCTCACCTATCTGAAATACAAGTTTTTAATTCGCATCGAAGGACAAGTTTGGAGTCGGAGAATCGATGTCAACTTTTCGAACAATGGAAAGGTGGTTCCTTTCTCCGTTCTTGGGGAGAAGTGGTTCTCGTAATTAAACCACGACGACGAGGGGACGGAGTGCACAACTAGACGGAGTAGAGAAGTCTGGCCAAACGAAAGCGCAAGACTCGGCCGTAAATTGCAGTATCATGCAGTGCATTTGCACGATGATTTCGGGTCGGTTGGTGGGTGTCGAGGGTGTCTACGCTCTTTTGTTCCGTTCCTGCGCGCCCACTCGGAGTGTTGCAACCGCGTTATAATTGCGCCAATTCGCGCCCCCTCGTCCAGTTTCCTTCCTTCCTTCCCGCGAAATTTTCTTCCGCCAAATAAATAATTCGTTCCAACATCGACGTTCGATTATCATCGTTGCGATGTGAGATAAAACGACACGCTCTTATCCTCTCCTTATTCGAACAATTTGCATATATTCATCTCTGGCGAACTCTGGAAGGAACGAATATATAATTAATAATAATAATAATAATAATAAAATACGATATACTTATAATTTTAAAAGCGTTTTCGCGTCTTTCGCGAATCGCAGAGCAGGAAATACCGATCGACAAGTGCGAATATTTTATTCCAGCAAAAAGAAAAAGGAAGGAAGGAAGGAAGGAAGAAGGATTGATTGATTCGTATCGAGGAAGGATCGTTGAAGCAAGTTATTCAATTAGCGCTCATTTAATCGG